AATTTACTTATGAACTCTGTAAATACTTACTTTGGGTCATCAGGTGGGTATTGCATGGAAACGGCTCTCCATAGGCACCTATGCCCTCCTGATAAGCACACTCCATAGCTTTTCCTTATTCACATCTTCTTGAACATCTCTGTACACTCTCACATGTGACCCGTGTCCTCTATAAAGTTGCTCTAAGTTCAGTTACTTTTGATTCCTTGGATGCCATCAAGTTTTTGGCTTCCAGTATAACTTGGTCTGAGTCCTTTGTTTCTTCTGTTGGTCAATAGGTAGGTATGCTTCAGCAGTCATTATTAGATTTCACTTGGCTGGAAGACATTTTAACATTTGCTGTACCAAATGTCAGGTAAAATTCTGCTTATAATGGCAGAGTATTACATCTAGATACCTATCAGCATGTGATTGGTAAAATTACAGTGTGTTTATGTATGCATTTATGGATCTTTACATACAAATACTGTGTAGTCATTAAAAGCAACATGCATGTCATGTATGAAAATGTCATAAAATGGTATTTTAAAAATAGCATGCATTTTCTGTTTATGTGGAATTGCCTGCGGACACTAGAAGAAAAAGTAGGCTAGAAAAGAAGATGTATAATGTATGCTTCATGGTTTTAAAAACTGTGTGCTGGGCGCCAGTGGCTCACACCTGTAATCCGAGCTACTCAGGAGGCTGAGATCAGGAGGATCGTTGTTTGAAGCCAGCCTGGGCAAATATTTTGAGACCCTAGCTCAAAAAACCCATCACAAAGAAAGGTCTTGTGGAGTGGCTCAAGGTGTAGTCCCTGAGTTCAAGTAGTAGTACCACCAAAAAAACCAAAACTATATATGTGTAGATAACGTGTTTTTATTTCCTTATTTTGGATATGATCTATTATTTATAGAGACCCTTTTGAATATTTTCATTTTGATTTTAAACATAATGACCATTTGAGGTATGCAGAAAGCGCAGGCATTACTTTATGGATGAGGAACGGGAACTGGTAAAGAAATAGTAGAGTGAGGCAGTAAGAACTAGAGAGACTGAGGACCCAGTCTTGGCTATGAAATCCAGGCTCTGCCTCTTGCTGTCTATCTCATAGGAACTCTATTCCCTTATGTAAAATGGGGCTAATGTCTACCACAGTGTTGAGAAATGCTTGTATGGTGCTAGATTATTAGGTAATCAGTGAGTAATATGTACTTTCTATTACTATTAGTAATTATAATATGAATGAGGCCCCCAGTGTATTATCTATTTATTATTCATAAATAATTACCCAAAACTTAGTGGTTTAAAACAATAGCCCTTGGCTAGAGGTGTGGCTCAAGTGGTAAAGAGCTTGCCTAGTAAACATGGGGCCTGAGTTCAAACCCCACTATTGCCAAAAAAAAAAAAAAGTCTTTTATTATCCTTTAGCTTCTGGGGATCAGGAATTCGAAGTGGCTCTGCTTTCGTTCTCTCATACGGTCACAGGGTGTTGGCTGGAGCTGTGTCATCTGAAGGCTCACCTGGGACAGGGCAACCTGCTTCCAAGATGATTCCTTCACCTGGCTGTTGGCAGGAGGCTTTAGTTCTTTGGCACTTACACCTCTCCACAGGGCTTCTTGAGAGTCCTCATGATGTGAGTAAGTCATCCCAGGGGAGGCAGAGAGCAGGAGCAAGGCAGAAACCACATTGAGTTTCCTGACCTAGCCTGTGAAATCAGATGACAGGTGAGCCCTATTCATTATGTGACAGGATGAGAATACCAGGGAGGCATGGATAGGTGGGGCCATCCTGGAGACTGCTGCCACATCCAGTTGGTAGTTGGCAAACGGAAATTAAATATTTAATTTTTGTATCCATCTATCTGTCTGTCCATCTGTCTATCTATCTGTGAGACAGGGTCTTGCTATGTAGCCCATTCTGGCTTTGAACTCTTGATCCTCTTGCCTCAGCCTCCTGAGTGCTGGGATTAAAGGTGGGTACCCCCATGCCTGGCTAAAATTTAAAGTGATGTCTGTGGGCTCTTTCTGTCATGGATAGATTGGAGTGCTGCAGGCTTAGCCCTTAACCTTCCTCTTTGATGTCTATACTCACACCTGGATGAGTCTCATCATGTCCCATGACTTCCATTTACATTTCTATACCACCTTTCCTTGGAACTCAAGACTCATATATTTGATGCTCCTGACCCCCCACACCTTACCTGCTCCCCTGCAGACTTCCCCATCTCAGTGTGGCAATGCTATTCTTCCTGTTGCTCAGGCAAAAATCTTCACCTCATGCTTGCTGTCCCTCTTCCTTTCACATCCTGTCTTCTGTCAGCAAATCCCATGGGCTCTGCCTTCAACATATGCCCAGAATCCAATCCCTCTCTCCATCTGTGCTGTTACCACCCTGGTAGATGCTCCCTTCCCCTCTTCAGGGTTTCACAGAGGCCTTCCAACTCTTCTTCAGCCTCTGCCCTGCTCCTCCCCATAGTCTATTCTCCCAGAAATAGCTGGTGGCTTTTTAAGACCCATCTCAGATCGTGCCTTTCTTTAGTGCTTCCCTGGCACACAGGGAAGAGAGCCACAAGCCTTAGATACCTCCAGACCTGCTTGCCCTTGGGCTCTATCTATTTGGCCTTCCCTCCTGCAAGCCTCTGTGGTGCTCTCTGTGCTCCTGCCTAGCACCAGCTGAGGGCCATGTCTCACATTCCCTTCCCTCCTGACAGCCCTCCCCTGCTTCCCACAGCCTTTTCCAGGGCCATGTAGTCCATAGCTTCTGCACCTTGCCTTGCTTTTTAATCTTTCTCCTTTGTTGTTATCACTGACTTACTCTTTTTTTATTTAATTAAATAAAAAACTATGATCTAGGCTATGATCTAGACTATGATCTAGACTATGATCTAGGATTTTGTCTGTCTTGTTCACTGCTGTAAGGAATAGCCTATCACATTTAGATATTCTTGAAGCCAAGCCTTTTTTATTTTAACATTTAAGTATGTAGGTGTTACCTTTCCAAAGCAGATATGTTTGAAGTTAGCATACCAGAAACATTTGTAACTCATCAGTACAGTGTGTTATTTCTTGCCCAAGATTAGTAGATCCGATTACAGGGGTGAAAAAGAAAAAGTAGTTTAGGAGTTTCCCTTATATGAACTGTTTCTTTTATGAATTGATTGCAAGTTAGGCATGTAATTCAGATGGAGAACTAAGGTCTATGGTCCTGTGGAGAATTATAAGGAGAGTCATTAGAAAAAGCAGAGTATGTGTTCCGGGACCCATGTCTTTTATTTTGTTTATATTCTTATGGACAAATAAATGGTACAGATTTATTGGTACAACATGATGCTTTAAAAATATATACACATTGTGGAATGGCTCTTCCAAGCTAATATATGCATTACCTCACTTATTTTTTCTAGTGAGAAGACTTAAAATCTGCTTTCTGAGCCATTTTCAAAATAGAATACATTGTTATAAAAACCATAGTCATTATGCCACACAATAGAATTCTTGAACTAATCCTCCCTAACTGAGATGTTGTATCCTTTGACCAATAAGACCCACACCTTATGTGTTGACTTAGAGTAGAAAGGTGAACAGACCAGAGGATGGTTAGGAGAATCCATAGTGGGAAAGGCAGAACTACCCTTCCTCAACCCTGACAAGTGCATCAGGAATGGTAGGCATGGGGCTGTCTGTAGTGGCTTATTGAGCTCTGTTTGTGGGCTCTGCAAGTTACTGTGCTTGGTACCTTAGGAATAGGGGAGGTGGCCTGGCCCTGCCCCCAACCCCCAGGAGGCAGAGAGATGCACAATGAAAGCAAAAGACAGGTCCTGGGAGAGGGTGGAATAAAATGACAGCCATGAGGTGGTACGTTGAGTGAAACATTGAAAGGTGTGAGTGGGACTTCAAGGGGAGGGACGAGGGGTAGAGCCCTACAGCATCCATGACTTGGCTGCTTCTCTCAGATAGTCATCTGGGGCCCTTGTCAAAAGGCAAATTTTGTTTCTGTAGGGCAAGGAGCGAGGCCTCCGCATTCCTCTTCCCCCATGCTGTACTCCTGGCTCTAGATAGAGTTCATGTCTCCAGAGGATTGCAGAGCTGCTTGCTTCTGCTTCCTTGACATGCCTAGTAAGGGCCAGCCTGGATGTGGCTGTGAGATGCTCAGGGATCAGAGCCAAGTAGAGGCCAGGAGGCCAAGGCCAATCTAGCACCTGACCGTCCCTTAGTCCTAGAGTCATTAACTCAGCCTTGGATCTCCTCTTTCTCAACTCTACCTTTACAAATTCACTTGGTAATTTCCATTGGTATCTCTTTGACTTTATGATCTCCAAACTATTAGAATGTTACTTTGTTCTTTTAGAAAGAAATTGATTCTATTATTGGTAGTTTTAAAAATGTTTTTTTATAAATTGCCAATCCATCTTCTTGTGGTGAAGTCCAGTGATAAACTTTCCAAAAGCTTATGAATTAAGGCAGGCCTCTTCTTTCAGGGAATTCTAACTGAGGGGAAAGAGGGGATTGCACCAATTCTGCTTTTCAAGCCGTGGTGTCCTAGTTAGCCTGTGTGACCCCAGCATGAACCAGCAAGGTAGGGGCAGATGACATAGAATTCTGCCCTCTCAGTGTTTGGCAGAATTGGGGTAGAGATGATCAATTAGAAACACGCATAGGCAATTTAGGAGGTTATGGTGGTAGAGGTAGAGCTAAAGCATCACAGACATGTTCCTTTCTGTTTTCACCTTCCTCCTGAGGGCCACTGATTCCTTCCCAGGGCCACCCCACACTGGGCTGATGTCAGTGTAGTGATGGGGCTTTTGCTGTTTACATTAGGAACTTGATCCTTTTATTCAGGCCTATCTACATGTTCCTACCTAAGAATCAAACCAGTTCCCATTTCTGACGGTTACATTGCAGTCCCTGGTTACTCTGCAGCTGTCTGTTGTTCAATTTTCTTTCAACATGGCAGGCATGTATGTCCACAGATGTGTGCTAAATATACACATGCATGTATGTTTCCAATTTTCTTCCTAGATTTTGGCATTGATTGCGTTCATCTGCATCGAGACCATCATGGAGTGCTCCCCGTGTGAAGGCCTCTACTTTTTTGAGTTTGTAAGCTGTAGTGCATTTGTGGTGACTGGAGTCTTGCTGATTCTGTTCAGTCTCAACCTTCACATGAGGATCCCCCAGATCAACTGGAACCTGACAGTGAGTACAAGCCACCACTTTGACTGTGGACGTATTGGGTACTGCTTGCCTCAAAAGGAAAGTTGGAATGTCTCCATGTCATGTGTGGTTCTAGTTTATGTTGATACTTAAATATGCCCTTATAACTCAACTGTGAAATTTTAGATTTCTTTACTGGGTTGAGTGAAACTACAAAGTATATTGAATCTTAACCAACAGTAGTAACATAACAAAATTGTGTTTCGCCTTTTAAAAATGTCATTTCTACTATACAATCATCTGAGGAAATTGGTTATGTTGATATTTGCAGAATATGGGAAACAAAATGGAATTAATACACTTGCATATATTTCAGACTAGACACAGAAGCCATTTATAAAAATTCTGATTCTGGAGGAACTGAAAATATGAATGAAAGTACCAATAACTTGCAAAGCCTAAGGATACTATTAAACTCTGAGATCTGGGAAAACCTGGAGGTTTGGGTGATTTGATCAGAAGACCTTCAGTGGAAATGTATTCTCTTCTCCCTATGGGTTGGTCTCTTAGCCCTGTTTGGACACCCTTGTAAGTTGTCATAAGAAGCTCAGAGTCGGTCAGTTCCAGGCCCATTTTTCTCAGGGTTCTGTTTGCTCCTCAGCCCAGCCCTTCTCACAACAAGTATTTTATTGAGAGCCTTAGAAACTTCAGGCAACTGGGACACCAATAAACAAGATGGTCATCTTGAGGGTGCACTTTTTTTTTTTTTTTGATGGTGCCGGGAATTGGACCTAAAGGCTCACATTACTAATAAGCAAGGGCTTTCCATTTGAGCTATACCCCAACCTGAAGCGTTCTTCTAATGTCAGGTTTTTGGATGCACTGTGAGATTTGTTCTGTGGGGTTTTCCTCTGTAAATGAGGAGCTTATACACCTATAGGTTCTATCTCTGCTTACCTCTATTAGTGCCCTAGGCCTCCTTTCTACCCCACCCCTCTTTCTATCCCTTCCTCACCTGGGTTGATGCTATTTATGGATGTCTGACTCTCTCCCTCCCACCACAACACCCCCACTCAGGGGCTCTCAGTGGTTCCGTCTTCTTAGCTGGTACCAGAGCCCAAGGCTTGCTTAGCCAAATTCCCCTAAATAAGAAGTCTGCACCTGCCTACAATCTAGTGTCTTTTCCAACCTTTTATTGTCAAATTGAAAAAAAAAATACGTGAAAGTAAATATACAGTATAGTGAAGAATTACACCAATTATGTAGTCACTACCTAGGTCAAGAACCAGGATATTGCCAGCATCCCAAAAGCCTCCCAGTGTGTCCTTCCTAAAGACAGCTCCTGCCCTTTCCCAGCCTGCCATCCTGACTCATGATGTTCATGACCAGTTTATGTCCAGACCCTTCTAGGCTAGCTTCTAGCCCCACTACATCATTAGAAGCCCCCCATGTTCTGGATCCTCGGGTTGCTCTGGGACACTCCATCCTTCTGGTTGTACTCTGTGCTCTTTCTTGCCTCTGGCGACACTGCTCTCTTGGCTTCCTTCTTCCTCCTTGGCCTCTCCTTCTCAGTGGTTCCTATAGCTGTGACTCCTTGCTCAGACTTTTCCTATCTGAGAACTTTGGCTGCTGTTGTTGTGGTGGGTTGAAAACTGACTGGAGACACCCAGAGTGACCACTTTGTTGAGCCTTTGGCCATAACTATTTCTGTTTTCTTTTTTTTTCTTCCTGATACCAAATATCTTTATTATATCAAGCAGTCCTTAATTCTTCAACATCAATCAGGTATCCAGTAGTTCCATTCAGTTCTGACGCCAGCTCCCAGAATTAGCACAGGCAGACGCATTGGTTCAGGGCTCAGCCCTACTAGGCTGTCCGACCTCAGAAATCAGCAGGTATGCCCAGGCACATCTGCCTGGCCCACTACAGATTCGGTTTCACAGCCTGTCCTCAGGTATGTCATCATCTACAACTCACAAATCTCAGGAAAATGATTTAGTTATGATTAATGCTTATTATAAAGTGTACAACTCAGGGACTATTGGGCAAGGTCTACAAGGGCCTCAAGTGCAGGAGCCACATTTTCAACACGTGGATATGCCCGCCAACCCAGAAGCTCACTGATCCCCATTGCCTAGGGCTCTTTTAGAGTGAGATTTTGTTAGGTGAGCATGATTGATTGACCAAATCATTGCTCACTGGGCGATTGAACTCAGTGTCCAGGAGTGGTGCTAAAAGTTCTGTTCTTGTAACATGGTTGGTTTTTCTGGCCACCACTTCCCATGCTGAAACTCATCTGCCTACCAAGAATGACCTCAGAGCATGAACTCAGGCCTGGTTAGCCAGCCACCATGATACATACCTATAATCCCAGCTATTTTGGAGGCCAAGGTGGAAGATTCTTTGAGTTCACCCTAGCAAACATAGACCCCTGTCCAAAACACAAGCAAAACCTCAGGACGTTTCATGATAAGCATAGATGTTCGTATGATTCAGAAAAGCCCCAAAACTTGATCAAATCTTGCATTATCCACACTCACCCTTTCTGGTGTCCAATTTCCTCATCTCTAAACGTAGAATAAATCCTACCTTACTAGATCATAATTAGGTTAAGATTCAGTGAGACTCTGGAAGATATATGATTGAAACAGTAAGGTCTCCGTAAATGGGCTGCCACTCTGGTCAGTGTTACAACTATCCCTTTCATCCCAAAGTCATTTGAAAACAGAGTTGGTGAACAGTATGGACTAAGTGATGGGAAACTTCCTTCTCTCATAGTGTGTATGGTTGAAACTGGAGCCACCAAAAGACAGAGCCCACTGATTTGGGAACCAAGCAATACTGCAGTGATGGTCCAGGTGGAACCTGTTTACAAGGATTTCATCCTGGATCCTTTCAGCAAACATACCTGCTTCATGTCAGGTTTTGGGAACAGAAGTACAGTGCAGGCCAATGTAAGCTGCTCTTCAGTAGAATGAGTGCTTGCTAGGATGTGGTATTGTGTGAGGCTAGAAAATACAGGCAAGGAGGTGGCGGATGCCTCAGGGCAGGAGGCCTGGAGTGCGTCAGTCAGGATGGTCGGAGAAAATGTCACACTCCAACTGGGCCTTGATAGATGAGAGGCTACTTCCTAGCAGAATATGGAAGGGTGGAGCAGGTTGTTGGATGGCTCATTCCTTGGGCCTGGAACGGGATCCAGGGCCTCCTGGGACCTACTAGGGCTGGGCACAAAGGGGTAAGTGAGGAGACGGAGGCTTGGCGTCAGAGACAGAGAGGGCAGCCCCTGCTCAGCTGTGGCTGATTGTGGTGTTGCTTCAAGAGTAGCTGGGGGCTGGGTTTGGTTTTTCAGGTGTTGGTTTTTACGTGTAGTCTTCTGGTGTTTAAATACTGGTTTGGACAAATTTGTTTTGAATATTGTACAAGTCCAATCTGTCAGTGGGCCAGATTGGCCAGTAGGCATCTACTTGGTGTCCTCTAGGCAGACAGTGTTGATCTGTTACTGGGTTGCCTGGACACTCTGAACGAGAGTGAAAGTATGTGTTTGTGTATGGGGTGAAGGGCTAGATGATTGCCTAGTTCCTAGTCTTTGACCTTCCTCTTCATCTCCTAGCATAGAGGGAGTATTCTAAGGATCAGACAGGTGACATAAAGTGGCTGTGTGAGACTGCAGGGAGTGGGGAGGACTGTGGCAAACTGGAAAGCCTATAGCTGATAGGGTACATGTGCCGTCAAAGGCATTAACACATTTAAATAGTAATTTTCACTTTAGAAGCCCCAAACCCTTACCAGATGACATATCCAGGGGTGCCCTGAAGTTTCACAGCCCAGAAACTTCAGTGGTTGATGTGGACTTTCATAGTATATCCCCGCTGTAAGCCTTTTAAATTATGTAAGTAATAGATGTTTTTTGTACAAAAACAAAAACAAAAAAATACCTAGAAGATACAGATAAAAGGAATCATGTGATGATCCAAGACAAATGAAAATATATATAAACTTAGGCTGGTAGGTTCATGGCTGCATTCTTCATAATAACCAAAAAAATAGAAATAACAAATGTCCAACAACTGATGAAGATACATAAAATCTGGTATGTCTACATAATGGAATATTAAATCAGTAATAAAAAGGAATGAAGTGTTGATAAATGCTACTACATGGATGAACCCTAGAATCATTATACTAAATGAAAGAAGCTGAACATTCCGTTTTTATGAAATGTCCAAAATGGGCAAGTCCAGAGACAGGAAGGAAGCAGATTAGGGTTTCCTAGAGTTGGAGTATGAATGAGGAGTGAGTGCTAGTGAGTATGAGGGGTGTGTGTGTATGTGTGTGCATAGGTGTGCACACATGCATTGAAAATCTAAAATTTCACTGTGATTGAGTTGTACACTTCCTGTCCATCCTTGTATTTTCTCTATACTGTTTTTCATATGTTGTGATGTGTGACTGGAGAAAAATGAAGCCGTTATTTAAATTATCGTGCATGTCTTCCATGTTAAATATAAAACATACATCATTATTTTTCATGACTGCAAGGTGTACCATTATGAAAATTACATTTTATTTAATAAAATCCCCTTTTCTTGAGCATTTTGTTTGCTTCCAGTTTTTTGCTACTTGGAATGTCGTGAAGAGAATCCCTTACACTTAGACACTTTCTGTGCTAGCGCTTAGATGAATTTCCAACCGTGGGATTCATAGAGAACGACGTGACCCTACTCACAGACTTCCATATCTATTGGCAACTGCTCTTCAGAAAGTTGTATCATGTAAGCTCTGCTGGCTGGCCCTCCCCCATCCCTCCTTCCCCCCCCTCCTTCCTGTCCTTCCCCTCCTTCTCCCCTCCCCCTCCCACTCTTACAGTGGTTATAGTCTTTGCTAGTAGTAATACATTTGCCAATTTAATTTCCACATCTTTGCACACAAGTACATTTGAACATTTTTTCTTACTTATTGGCCATTTATCATTCTTTTCTCACTTATTTCTGATTCATGTACAATTGGTCTTTATATATGAAGATATTGAACATTTTATCAAATGTTTTTTTAAAAATTAATATTAAGATTTTACTTTAAGGTTTCTGCATCTAGTATACTGCTTAGAAAGTTCTTCTGACGGTTTTTAAACACACATAGTAATTTGTGATTTTGCCTTTTATCTTGTAATTTTTTTTCTCTTTGACTTATTTTAGCTTAAGGTGTTAAGGTCAAAATGCAAAATTTGACATCATTTCTTTTTTTTGGTGGTACTGAGATTTGATCTCAGGGCTTTGCACTTGCTAGGCAGGTGCTCTACCACTTGAGCCATGCCTCCAGCTACAATAATTTCTTTAATCAGTTGCCTTAGCAACATCCTGTGTTTTGTCACTACCTTTCTTTTTAAAATATGGCACTATCATGCCAACAGAATTAGCAACTCCTTAACACTGAGATAGGGTCTGTCCTTTTAGCTCAGACTTGCCTTAACTTAGGTTCCTCCTGCATCATCCTCCTGAGTGCTGGCATTGCAGACATATGCCCCCATGCCTGGTTAAACTATCTTTTTACATTTATTTTAGATCATGAAGCACACAGGGCTGCACACATAGCTCCCTTCTCATTCATTTTCTTCTTCTTTTTAAGAGCACTGGTCTCTTATCCTGTGGAACACCTTCCTGGTATTGCTTTACTTGCTCCCCTGTCTTGTCTTATCTGTGGTCTGATGGCTGGCTCTGGGGTAGTGCTGTCCAACAAGCTGTCTGACAATGGAAACATTTTCTGATGGCAGCCAGAGCAACACCTGGCTGCTGAGTGTTCAAGTTCAAAACATGGCTTATGTGAGTGAAGAGTGGGACTTCTTCCTTTGTATAATTCAGTTAATTTACCTTTCAATAGCCACATGTGGTTGGGGGTCAGCATAGTAGGACTCTAAGCAGCTCAGTAATCCTCAGGTTCATGGTTTTTTTTTTGAGGCAAGTACTTCTGTACTTAAATAGGTTAGCTTGCTGGAATTTGAGGAGGCAGACCTGTGCCACCAGTTGTTTAACCTGTTTGCTGCATATCATAAGAGGACATTATGGTAGGAAATGATATAGTGGCTCACATCTGTAATCCTAGCTATTCAGGAGGCAGAGAGGATCGGGAGGATCATGGTTCAAAGCCAGCCCAGGCGAATAGTTCTGAGACCCTATCTCAAAAATTCAACACAAAAACGGGCTAGCAGGGTGACTCAAGCTGCCTGCCTAGCAAGGATGAGGCCCTGAATTCTTCTCACAATACTCCCTGAGCTCCAACTTTTATATTTTGCCCATATAGTTTCTAGTTCATTACAACATCAATACTTTTATGTAGTCACCAGTAACATAGATGCTATTTTGTTTGATGTTTGACCATAGCATTGTATCATAAAATATGTTCCTCCTTTCTGAATATCCTTTGCTTTGGGACATACATTTTATGTTCTTTTTCGTTCCTACAACATTTTACCCAGAACTGAGTATATCTAAACACTTCCTGGTTTGAATTTGTAAAAAATTTGCCCTAGCTATGGTAGGTCATAGTTGCACCCTGTCCTGCTGGTGGACATTTCTGACAGCCCCACAGTCTCACTTTTCCCCAACCCATGTGGAAGCTTGCCATGCAGGAGCCCACTCAGCTGAGTTTCTACTGCATGGGTTCAGTACTGTCAGGACAGATTGCTGTCTCTTTTCATCTTTAAAAAGAAAGTCTGCTTTTGGGTCAAGCCAGACCAGACCAGACCAGACCTCCAGGTGTTGATGGTATGGTCAACTGGGCACTTAAGCAGTTTGGTCTTTTCCCTGAATTTTCTTCTCCTGTGGAGCTCATAGAAGCTGGGTGGTATGGTCTAGAGTAATTGGGGGCCTAATGTCAAAGCAGTAATAACAGAAGGATTCAGACTGTGGGCCAGCACTGTGCTTGGCTTGTTACCTATGTGGTTCCATTAACCTCTAGAACTGCTCCAAGAGGAAGGGACTGTGAGTTCCACATACAGAACAGAGGAGCAAAGCAGCTGTCCAAAGTCAGAGGGTTGGCTAGGACCCTTGTCTTGCTGTGACTCGGAATCACTGTGCTTTGTAAGTAAGACAGGAGTTAAATCTGTAAAACACTATGTAACCTCATTTGCTTTGCCAGAAGCTTAGGAGAAAATCTCCAGGCTTGGGCACCATAGAAGTTTGAAACTCTGTAACAAAGTTTATTCTCAATGTATGAAATAGTGTGTTTTAAACTTCACACACTGGGGGGAGTTGCCACAGTTTCAGTACATTCAGACCCATGGGGAGCTTGGTCCATTCCAAGATGATGTGAGCATCTTTTCTTTTTTTTTAAATTTAGTTTGTTTTTGAGTGTTTTTTTTTAAAAAGATGGCACTAGAAGGCTGGGGGGTATAACTTAGTCATAGAGCCCTTGCCTTGCATGGGCCAGGCCCCTGCGTTCAACTCCAGCATTATAAATGCATACATGTGTACACACACATACATGCACACATATATACACACCTACATGCACACACACATACCTACACACATGCACACACATACATGCACACACATACGCACACACATACACACACATATACATACACAAACGCACACACACACACATATACATACACAAACGCACACACGCACATATATACACACACCAGAATGTGCTAAGCTGTGATTAGTGTTACCTCTTGGTTGCTATTTAGGTCAAGAATTGGCAATGCGGTAGGCTAAAATGTGGATTCTGCTGTGGTGATTTGCCCAGCAATGGCATAAATTGTTACTTTGTCTTCCTTTGTGTGACTAATGCCCCTGTGACCTGGAAACTGACTTAGAACCATAGAGGTTGTGTGTTGTTGGCCTGTCTGCAAGTTCTTCAGTTGCTTTTAGACTGATTCTTTTCAAGTGGTTTTATTTTCTCTTTCTTTAGGATTTGGTCAACACTGGACTCAGCACTTTCTTTTTCTTTATTGCCTCAATTGTACTGGCTGCTTTAAACCATAAAACCGGAGCAGAGATTGCTGCTGTGGTAAGCAAATTCAAAGGGTCACATACAGGCTGATCTCATACCTCTGTGACGTGCTCTCCTCTATCCCCTGGCATGTGTTCTACCATCCTCCTTTAGCTTTTCTTTACTGGCCCTAGAGGCTGAGGTGTGGAGGGTGGGGACCGGACAGTAGAAGCTGTTCACTCCCCACGCTCCGCATTTCTGTATGGCTAAACATTTATAACGAACATGTATCACTTTTGTAATAGGGAAAATAGAAGGTTTTAAAAACTATTAAACTGGCTGCTCTCCTAGTGCCACTCAGTAGATTCATCAAGCCTGACCAGATAATGAAAACCCCATTGGAGCCACCCAGGTGAGAGGCAGCAGGTGGGCGTGGGGGCTGTGAGTTGGAACGTTGGCCCTGTGACTTGGTACGGGGCTCATGTGGGACTCACTTTTCTGTCTACATCAATTCTGTCTACATTTTCACATCTGGGACCAGAGACCATGAATTGCATGCAGTAAAAGAAATATTTTTGTGATTTAAAAAAGAAAGTCCAAAACATGTCAAAAGACCATTGAGGCTGTCTCCAGGTCAGCCACATGTCTTCTGAGTCACATAACTAGCTAGAGCCTCAGCAGGTTGTGACAGCTATACGTTGAGCAAGGCTGAGGACCAGGGTATAGCTGGACAGGCTTGCATGCAGCTTGGGTCCCCATGAAGCAATTCAGGGCTGGGGTATGTGCCCAATGCTAACCATGCCTGTGTATTTTAGATATTTGGCTTCTTGGCAACAGCGGCCTATGCAGCAAGCACATTCCTGGCTGTACAGAGGTGGAGAATCAGCGTTCGCCAGCAGAGCGCCAACGACTACATCCGAGCCCGCACCGAGTCCAGAGACGTGGACAGTCGCCCCGAGATCCAGCGCCTGGACACGTGAGGACCCATAGGAGTCCTCCTCCTTCCCACCCTTGTGCCCATCCTTCCACTCAAGTTTTCTTTCTCTCAGCCATCAGATTTTCATGTGAATCAATTGAATTTTGTTTTCTTTGGGTAAGGATGCTCAGAATAGCCCAGGGGGCAGGTCTGTGGTGGCTGGAGAGTCCATGTTCTCTGTCACTGGGTGTGTGTGGGAGCAGACTCACTGACTGCCCAGGTCTAGTCTACGTCTCAAGTGTCCCAGATCACAGGCTTTCATCTGACTCTGAGCCACACTGTCATGTATTTGTGATGAGTCAAACTGAGTTAAATGGGCTGCTAAGACGGGGAAGTGTATGTCAAGAAATGAAGGTTCAGGTTGGAACTGCCAGCCACGATTCTTAGGCAGCCCCTGTAGCGTGCTCTGGGGGGTGTTAAGTCTGCCTGCCAGGATCCACATCCTTGTCTTCCATGCCTGGGGTGCCCAGGTGGCCAGCACAGCCTGAAGTCCATGTGGGACCCTGAGGGTCTTGGCTGTACATGTGCTCATGGACCTCTTTGCTGGGCCTGTGTGTTACAGGGACAGGGAAAACTGGTGTCCTGTGGGGACAGCTCCATGGGACCATGGTGGGGAAGGGTATGTCACCATTGTCTCTTACCCTGCTGAGAAGTCACTTGATTCTTTCTCAAATGAACCACCTTCCTGAGTCCCAGACTCTTTTCTAGGGATATGGGGACCATCTTGTTTATCAGTTTCCTGCCTACCCCAAATTCTTTGAGGCTGAATCGCAGAGTTTCTGCAATTTTACCTTCTCTGGTAAAAGCCACAAAGGAAACACAATCCATTCCACCAGCCAAAGCGCTTGTTTGCTGGCCTCCTGGACCACATTTTTGTGTGTGTGTGTGTGTGTGTGTGTGTATGCAAGACACATGTGCACACCTGCACACACCTCTGTTCTATGGACGTGTGCTGATTTTCTAAATGTCTGAAAAGAGTTCTAAAGTGACTCTGGGTAGATTTGTCTAGGATGTGAAAATACTTGAATGTACCAGGATACAGCCTTCCACAGATGTTTTAAGGCATTAATTATCACTTTGGGTACCTGAGTGTCATCACCATGAACATCAGTCCTAGTTACTTAAGGTTTTTGATTGGTTCTTGATAAAGTGAAGATGTTTTGTGGTGAACATGCTAAATGAACCGCTACGATGTTGTAGTTTTTGCTGTTGTTAAAGACTAAGTCTATCTTTTATGGAAAAATTGTCTTAATTTGTCAGGTTTTCACTCTAAGCTGTTTTAATGTTTACAGACCTCTCTATAGTGCTAATATTTTGGGTTAAGCCCTCACTAAGAAAGATACTGCTGGTGGGAAGATTTAGCAGTAGGATGGAGAACCTCCAGAATCTGGTCCAAGGACAGTTCACAGCTGTGCTGTGGAGTAAATAATTCAGAAGGGGTGGTGTATGTGTTGGAGTGGGGAGAAGAATTGGGGAGGAAGTGCCCCTGTGCCTTTGTGGCACTGCAGTCTTCAGGAAAGAGCATCTGGTTTAGCAGTAAAGAGGGACCACTGGTCAGGTGGTACTGGTCAGGCGATGCTGCAAGACTGGAGGTTGCACAGCAAACACTATTATGCACGTCTGATGGTTGGGCTAGGGGTTGGTTCCCTAAACCCAGTATCTAGTGCAACCCAGTTCCGCTGCAGTTCCTGTCTGGGGCAGTGGCCCAGGTCACATGGTCAAGCCTGTGTCTGCTTCAGGGGCTGACCCAGCTATTCTGGTGGTAACTCCTGCCCCTTCCTGCTTCTCCCACAGAGCTCAACCTGGGCCTGGCACCACGCCCAGTGCGTCTGATGGAACCCTTCACATGTCTGTCTGAGTCAGTACACCTTGCGCTTCACCACCTTTGAACCTGTTATATGTAGTGATTCAGGGGAGCTGATGACATCTGGATTTTATCTGCTCATTGTTCATGTTTATTTTGTATTCACTGACTGTGTATATGATCGAAATTGGGCTTATCTCCATCACAATTCCATTAAAAATAGGGTCACTAAGATCCAGCCGTACATCAGATGGGGCCCACCTAGAAGGACCACCCTGAGCTTTTTCAGAAATCTGCTAGAAATCATGTTAGTTGGCCTCAGTAAAAGGCCACCTTTGAAGTGAGATTGAAGAGAGAACCATTCAGGCTGGTTGTTGCCCAAGTTTTCCCAGTTGCTTCAATAAAACTAGTTTATCATCTGGTGAAGACAGACCATTGACCAGCCTCCTGAGGATGGGCTGTCAGCTGAAAGAAACAGGCCTGAGGCCCACTGACGTTGAAGCTGAGGGGTGATAAAAAGTGATGAAGGCTTCTTCCTAAGAAAGTAGGAGTTAATTTGCATTTTAGCAAACAGAATCTTTGGAATTATTTATGTCCTGGTAACTGTTTAATATCCTTTGTGGTATGAGGCTTCCCCACAGTCTCCATAAATGTATTTCCTTGTACATTTAATTAGCTTCCATGGGACCGGAAGTAGCCTATACACCTAATGGTGTAGTGCACAGCCCTATGTCTCTTCGTGTACAGTGTGGTGAGGAGAAGTCATGAAGGGAACGTAGTTGTCTATGGTGAATGTAAAGACACCTGTATTTATCTTATGTTGTCTCTAGATTTGGGGTCCTAAAATGACCTCTTTGCAAACTGAAGGAAGCATATTTTTGCATTGAGTAGGTCCAGCATGGACCAATGTCACTTGGATGTGGGGCATTTTAAGGATGAGGCACCCTTGGTTTTCTATTTCCTGGTGGAATGTCTATGTTCCTGGAGATTTGGGGTTGAGGTCTGTGGTATTTGCTCTGGTGGTTTTGGTGGATGGAGACACTGACATCTTCAGAGGAAGTGGATTTTGGCACTGGTTTGGTTGATTGGGTGTTTTCCCCCAACTTTCCCTCTCTTCAAGCTGCCCAAGGCATGGAAGGCAATACCTTTTCCCAGTCATAGAGAGAGACTGTAGTCATAAAAACCTAAAGACGCATGCTGGTCCTCTAGAAGGGACAAAGTGACAGATTAAAATGTCCTCGGAGTTTAAAGTGAGCAGCCATCCAAGGGAGACTGTCTACAAAAAAGAGCTCAGTAGCCCACCCACTCCCAGTGCTCACATCTTCCTCAGCAATGTGAGTGGAATGCCAGCATGGGCAGAGGCAGGGCACAGGGAAACCAGCGAGGACTGGTCAGGCTCTGAGGGCTTGGCCCTGGGGCCACATCATCATCCCCTGGCAGGAAGGTTAAATCGTGTTGGCAGCCAAGTGAATCTGGCCCCCACTCTGAACTGGCAATTGTGACTCAGCTGGAAACATTCCTACCTGGTCAAGTTGGCAGTTTCTTCTGCCCTCTTTAAAGCTTTGCTGGTGATTGAGACCTGGGCTAAACCACAGGTGGTCTCAAGATAAAGGCCTCTTTCATCCTCACACATGAATTCTTGTTTGCTGTGAATGAGACTTGGATAATCCTGGTGTGTGACCTATGCTTCTAGATTCAAATGCACTATTTAGAAGAAGTCCCTCACCTATCCAGTGCTCTTGGAGGTGACCTGGGGTCCTGTGGATCAATGACCAGTGGTTGGTCTTAGGACTGACAGAGAAATGGAGTGTGGAGACTTGAGGCCACATTAGTCATCACATAGGTAGTTTTGTTCTGCCGCTGTGTTCAAAGCAAAGTGATCATGAAGTCATTGTGCCACTGCCTGACTGCCGTTTTCTCTAGATCTGGTCTGTAGAGCAGCAGTGACATTGAACAGGTAGCAGAGGAGAATACACTTTCTAGGTCCAGAGCTGCTGGTCAGTTCTCATGAGCGGAAGAAAAAAGTTGTTTCTGGTTTTAGGCACTGCTGCTAGCTTAAGAGGGCTCCAGGGTTTCTCTCTTCCCTGGTCCACCAGATTTTATCAGCACCCACTCCCAGGACCAGCCTGGCCAGGGCTTAGACCGGCCCCTAAGTGAGGTCTTCTTAGGGGCCTGTGAGAGGAGAAGGAAGATACGATAATGACACTAAAATTGTTTATAACCCCAGGCTGCCCTGGAAACATGTACTTGGTTCACTACCTTCCTGTACCCTTGTCTTCAGAAGAGTAAGGGCTTGAGTTCCTGTGGGTGCTGTGGGTGGCCTCTGGACATGAAATCTGGATCTGACAGGTGACTGATTGGGCTCAGGTGTATTCCAGGCAGGACTCGGATTAAAAGGGCCACCTCTCTCACTTTGTAAATTTTTCTCTGTAAAATCTTTTGTTTCTTCTTTTCAAAAATCCTAAAATCTGTCTGGTTGAGAAAGCAATTTGAAATATTTGACCCTTTATATTTCCTTTATTTAGAAAAGTTTTTTTCTGGAAAGGAATGTTTTGTTGGACTTTTTTTCTTCATGCCAGTAAACAGCATTTGTACCCACTTCAGCCTAAACAGAGGAGGGGGTCCTATATTTCCCCTTCTTTTGTCTGGAATATATTCTTTTGCCATTTGGATACAATTTCTCAGCCTTTATGATTTTTTTTTCTAGTTTTCCTTATTCTGTAAACACAACAGTAAAGAAGAAAAAAAAATGCTCCACAAGCCCACTGACCTTGAAGCACTGGCAACTTGCCTAGAATAAAGTTTAGAATATGGTTCCTGGAATAGCATATCCATTTTGTTGGGTTAGTTTATCGTCTGGACTTTTTATGCTGAAACTTGGACTCAGGTGAGCTTTTGGTTAGGGTTAACTAGTCAGACTCTGGTGAGCTCTCAGAACTTTCATGGTTTGATTCTCATTATAAGAACATGTGTGGAGTCTAGAACCACTTTAATCAACTTGTTGAGATTTAGGGCAAGGTCTAGTGTTTCTTTTCGTAATTGTGTTTGAAAAAAGAGAGAGATGAGGCAAGACTCTGAACATGATTTGTGTGGAGCTCATAATTATTGGAAACCATGGTGTCCGAGGTGTCCTCGATGCTGCTGCTGACACCCAGTAGGAAGTGCCTCTTTTTTTTTTAATCAGGCAAGCCACCCATGGAATGGCCAGGAGATGAGAGGACAATGGAGAGAAACCCAGTGCCCATGCAGGAGAGCAAGCCTGACTGATGGCTGTTTCCCTCCACGAACTCTGCTTTGCGTCCTGAATTTTGCCAGAATTGATTTTGCAAGTTCCAAGACTCTGTTTCCTCCCTGTGGAACTGAGGAAGACAAGTGTTCAGGGCTTGAAAGAGAACTGGCTGATACAAAGGCTAGGGAGGTGAAGGCAAGGGCAGGAGGCCTGAAGATGGCCCCCTCATAGTGGCCCAGCCCAGAGGCCAACCGCTTCCAACTCTTTCACTCTTAACCATTTAAAAAAAGGCTTCAAATCATGATGACATTGACCTAGTTGCCTAAAATCAGTGCTTTTCATAACTTGATTCTGTTTGACATGGTTCCCTCTAGGAGAATGTTAGGGATTGAAACTATTTGTATATGTTGAAATTTGTAGGGGTTCAGGAACCCATGGTAGAAATACTAAGCTATTTATTACAGGTAGACTTTTTTTTTTTTTTAAAGTAGGCTATTGTGTCTGTATATTTTAAGACAAATAATCACTTCACCTTTGGTGCCTTTCATGTGTCACATAAGCATTCCTGTCAATCATGGGATTGGGGGGAAAATGATGTACATTTAGTTATAACAGATAACACTATTTTTGTAGCATGATTTTAGATTGTGTCCTTTTAATATTGCTTTCAACAATGCTGGTCTTGACGTTCGGGCCATTTTCCTTTTCAACTTGGTAGATATTTTTAAAAAACCCCAAAACAAAAACAATCCCTGGCCACTCCTGTCTCTTCTCTGCTGCCTTCTCCCCCACATTTTGTTTTTGCAAGATTAAATCGTCTGAGAGAGTATATTTCTGTGAAATAATCACAAGTCAGTATAATTGCATTTGGCATTGTTTAGCTATTTGCTCAGTTTGAAGGGCCCCTGCTCACCTCAAATAGTATGAGGAAACTGGCTCCATGGTTAAAAAAAAAGAAAAAAAAAAGATTATCATCTGTTCTTTGACTTTCCCCGTGCTGGGTCTGAAGTGATGGAAAGCCTGTCTGGCTCCTTGCCTTGTCACCCAGGTGACCCTGAGGATGTCCTCTGGTTTGGCTCAGTGCCTCCTGCTCCCATCACAGACAGGCTCCTGGCCTCATTTTCCACCCAGATTTCAGATAGGGTTGTGGATGCCCCAGCTGGGGTGGGGGTGGGGGAGAAGGGGTGCTGAGTGCAGGAGATGTGCTGCTGGGGAGAGCTAATGAAACGAAGGCATAGGCCAACTTTTGTGCTTCCTTCTGCTTTCCCAGCCCTGCAACACTGAGTTGCATCTAGTCAAGGAGAATCTTGGTAAGTAGTTGAGCCATTGCTGGATGAAGGTACGGATTTATTTAAACATGGAATTGTAGCTTTTGGTTTGTTCCTCTGAGTAGTCAGGACAGAACATGCAATCTTGTGATAACAAAGGAGTCCAGTCTGACAGCTGAGTGATAACTTTCCACTAGGGTTCTTCACCTAGTGGCACTTTTGAGGGGCAATGTTAATGATTGTCGTGGCTTCTAAGGTCTGTTTGTTTTGGGCAGTTTAGAAACCCAGCTGTGGGGCATTCTGAGGTGGCAGTCAGTGGGCAAGCTTTAATTTGTGCTGTTTGCAAGGCAGAGGTCCCATCCTGCCTCTCAAACTGACCCAGGCACCACAAGATGGATCTCCCCAGCTCCCAACTGTCTCTCAGGTTTGACTTTGTTCATTTGGAGTGGTTTTGGGAGCCCCAAGCATTTGTTCCTGTTGATTTATCCCTGACAGCAGACAAAGCCCCCTTTATTTCCTTCAGAGGACCAATTTTTCATGGTACTTGTTTTGATTGTTTTCATAGTGTTCAAATCTGTATTTTTGTATGTAGAGGGAAATAATTTTCAACACTAATCGCTAATAAATATTGTATTAAATTGTCATGAAGGAGTTCTTGTTTAATAAATGGACATGTAAAACGCTGTTGTCTCTTCTTTCTGCCTTGTCTCCTCTTCCCTAAAAGGCTGTGAATCCAGCTCCTGAAGCAGGCTTACTCTGCAGAGGTGGCATGGAGCCACACTCCGTAGGGTGCTGGCAAAGTGCAGCATAAAGTCCCCCGTGGGCCTCTCTTGGCCTCTGCACCTTTAACTTTCATGCATGTTTTCACAGCATGCTATGTGACAGTTGGGCAGAATGCCTTACCTCTTTCTGAGCCTGGGCCACAATACTGAGTGGGACCCTCCCAAGCTGCAACTCTGAAGTCCCTCATGCAACCAGTTTCAATACCACAAGAGCCCTGGGTTCTGGCCCTCAAGGGATGCTATTCTAACTCATGAGTGAGAGGGTTCTAGACTTCTTTCCTTTCCTTTGGGTTTCTTTGACAGTAAACAGAGGCTTCTGTGCCAGTCAGAGGCTGACCCCAATGCAGGACATAGAGTAAGTGCATATACCTTGCTGCTGGAACCAAACACTGTCAGGATTCACTCCATGTGTGTCACTAGTTGATACTGAAGCATCAGTGTCACTGCACAATATTGTTCTGGGTAACAGAAGTGTTTTTCAGTCACACACACTCCAAGCAGGTAGTCAGTCTGGTTTAATCCATTATAGTTTTTTTTTTTTTTTTTTCTTTCAGGGCAGGAGATTCACATGCAAGAATATGGTTACAAATGCCCCAAACCTGGTCCCCAATCTCTGGCTCATTCCCAAGGCCTCTTGGTCACAGAAATGCCATCTGTTAAGCTGCTTTAGTATTTAGGAAAAAAAAAACAAAAAACAAAAACTATAAAAAAGCTACAAAACCCCATCAAAGCATACATATACTGTATGTTCCCAGGTGAACACAGAAGGCTTGTCTCATCTTTCATGAGGGAGCCAGTTGGCCTGCCCTGGTGTCCAGAGGAAGCACAGTGTCCTTGAGTCCCAAGGACTTGCCTGCATGAAGAGGGCTCTGCTGGGCCTGCCCAGCTGCCCGGGTCACAGTTTCGGCCACTGTGATGGTTGTCTGTTGGCTAGTTGGCAAGTGAGTCTGTGAGCTCTTCTCTGAACCTGTCTTGGACCCAGGAACAGAAGTCGTGGTTTCCAGGACTAAGGTGCCACCCATCTTGGGTGGCAAAACCTGCTCTAAGATGGGAAGGCTAAGTCTTCTCCCTCCACAACGAGGAGGGAGCTTGTGCTTCTTAAACAAAGACTCCTGAAAGGACTGTTCTCAACAAAGTGCTGGCATAAGCAGGAGCACCCTATGCAGGTGGGGGCCACCAGGGCCCGGCAGGCTGGCGCTCCAGTGGCTTCTGTCTGTTCTTGGTAGTGAAACAGACAATCCCCCCCACCCACTCCACAGCAAGAACTACAACTGAGACAGCTGCATCTGCTGTCCCATGGTTTTGGCAACAAGGTTATAGGAAATAGGATCTGTGGAACAGGAGTGGGAGAGGGTGGGACATTCAAGACACCCTCACACAGAGTGGTTTAACAGCACTAGTCCAGGGGTGCAGTTTTAAATGCAGAGCTCAGGAATGTAACCTTGAGGCTGTGGACAGGCCCACTTGGGGGATCTCCCTTCCACATCAGTGCCTTCTGGCCACACTCCCAGCAGTCCTGTCAGGAAGGTGCAGGTGTGAGGCCCAGGTGCTCAGGTTGCTGGGCACAGACAAGCCTTCAGTCAGAGTCCGAGTCTGAGTTGGAATTGTCCTCTGAAAGGAAAGCAGAGAGGATGCTGGCTGGAATCTTGGGCAGGGGTGTGGGGATGCTTGCATGGAAGGCATACCAGGCTGCCAGCAGAAGCCCTGAGCCACCTCTCCTGTGGCTAACTACCTTCAGCAAGGTCTGCTGGCTTCAGTGAGGGCAGGCCGGATCACAGGTAGGCATGTTCACCTCCAGATGCAGGTAGGGGATGAGGGAGCACTTTCAACCCAGACTAAGCCCAAGTGCCCTTTGTCCAGGACCCCAGGACTAACCAAGGCTTCAGGGCCATTCTCACCTGGGGGTGTCAGGTTGTACATCTGCACTCCATCCTTACACCCCAAGCCCAATTCAGCAGGACAGGATGAGGATATCTACTTTCTTGTCTTCAAACTAAAATATACTGAAAAATCAGCAAACTTATTTTCAGTCCTTTCTAACAGTTGTGTAATGTTAAGGGCTTGTCAGTGAGGCGTGACTTGAGGGCTCCTAAAATCCCACTACTGATGACGTTTTGTAGTCTTCTAGAACCTCTCCAGGCAAGAAAAGCATCCCTGCCCTCCTGCCCCAACCAGTGCCACTTGCTATGTTTTGATGCTCTTCCCCAGGGTTGCCCAGGCAAGGCCTAGTGGATTTTGCTATATTTGTGTCCAATGTAAGCTAGAGAAACTTAACACAAAACAGCTATTACATAGACATATATGGACTTATATATATAAATAAAATTCTCCAACTATTAAAAACACAAAATAATCCAAATGTGTGTCTCTAGGGACATTTACCCCTGGATCCCTGGGCTGACTGTTGGGCAGCTGCAGCAGGTGGCAGACGTCTGAGGACAAGGTCTAGGAGCAATCAGTCATGTTTGTAGAGGTACTAGAATGAGCTGAGAAACATTCACTTAGAGCAGAAAGGCAGTGTCTGGGACACTGTGGCCCCAGAAGCAAATCTGTTGGGGAGGCTGGTGGTTCCTAAACCTAACCAGCTGAGTCCTGCCTCAGACACCAGGTGCTTGGTGGGGAGGATCCCAAGGCCAGGGCAGGCCCTGCAGGCCTGAGAGCTCCATGGTCCACCTGCCCAGCCATAGCACTGCTGGGCAGCTCCAGAGAAGTGTCTGGCCTGGATGGAAGCCCCAACTCTTTAACGCTGTTATCTTCTCCCTCCACTTTACCCTCCTTGTGCCTGCAGACTCCTACACACCTGTCAAGAGCCAGTTCTGGGTCACTCCCAACAGCCTCCAGGGCAGGCAGGGCTCACCTTCAACTGCTTTATCTCTACTCATTAACTTCTATTTTGTTATAATGACCACTTTAGGCTGAAGCCTGTCTGTGCACCTCTAGTGCTCAGCATAGGGTAGCTTCAGCAGGATGACACAAGGGCCTCAAAGAGATAGGCGATCCCAGGCTGAGTTTGGAGCCAAACATCTCCAGGGTCTCTAAGCTGCAAGGAAATGGCCAGTGGGCCTCAGAGCCCTCGGGGAGGGGGCATTCCAGGTCAGCACCCCACCACTCTGCCCCTCTAGGCCAGGGCCTCTAGGGGCCTCCATGCAGTGTGAGCAACACCTGAAGAAGGTCAGGTAATACTTCCACACCAGCTGTGGTGCCTCCTGACAAATCAGTGTATGGCTTTACCACATGCCCTGCCCTGTGCAAGGGACAAGCACTCCAACGATGTGACAGTATGGCTGTGTTGTCACTGACATAAAATCAGGTGACAAAAATGCTGCCTGTCTGGGCTGGAAGGATGTCTGCTGCACTTTGTTTACAAATAAAACCCAAACAAGCCTGCACATGCCTGGGTTTGCCTGAGGGCTGTGGGCTCTGGCAGGCAAGGTGGCAGGGGAAGCTGGGTCCAGCAGGTAGCCACTTTGGATCTCAGGTGGACAGGTGTCCTTGCAATGACTGGTTGCCCTGGGGGGCTCATCCAGGAAGGGAGGCTTGCACGGCCAAAGGCTTGGGCTTTGTGCTCAGATCAACCCTCCAGGAAAGCCTGAGGTCAGGGAGGACTGGCTTAGTGACTCACCTCATGAAGGCCTGTGACAACTAGACTACAGAAACGCTTTCTGCCCCTTCCCCAGCTGCAAACTAGCCAGGTGTCCCCAAGGAAGCCCTTGCAGCTATCCTAAGGGTGATCACCCTGCAGGATGGCTACTCACCTTCTGTCCTGTGGGCAGTGTTCTCATCTGCAGAATCTCCTTGCTTGAGGAATTTAGCCACGTCGTTAAAGATCAGGCAGAAGTCAACTGCAAATACGATGGTGGCAAAGAAGCCAAAAACCTGTGGGACACATGCAGAGCATATGGCAGAGAACCCTGTGCAGGGTGATGAGACGTCACCAGAAACCCAGATCCCTGGTCCAGAATGCTGGGCAGGGGAGGCATCCCATCTGGACAGGGTGATGGAAAACGGAGATTTTCTGCAGACTCAGCTAGGTGACCAGCCTTTCACTGGAGTTCAGGGCAGAGAGAATCTCCAGCAAAAGGACTCTGGAAGAGCTGAGGCCCACCTGGGAGCCCAAGGGGCCCAAGCAGGGAGAAGATGTGCCCAGGTCCCACCATTACTGGGTGCCCAGAGGAAAACCTGGAGTTTCAGGAGAGGACATTGCTGAATACTTGCTGGGGGTAGGGCGGCTGCTTACCCCAGCTGCTTTGAAAGCCCCTTCTGAGTATTTGGCAACAGCTGTGATGGAGATGACGAAGTAGATGAGGGCAGCGGTGACACAGCGCAGGAAGTCCTGGAGAGAGAGGGGAATGGCCAGGCTGCCCTGAGCTCCCAGAGTGGAGACAACGTGGGTCACACACCAACCCCAAGCCCAGCACCTGGGAGACCTGCCCTGCACAGGCCCTGGTCTGACCCTGCAGGTGCTTCCTACTGTCTTTCAGGCTCCCCTTTCTCCTGTCCCTGGTTCAGCTGGATGCTGTCCTCTGCTCTGTAGGCAACAAACGGTGTGGACCAGACTGCAGCTTGCTCTGTGGCTTGGCCCATTTGGAGGCAGAAGTTAGAAACTTGTCACCCGTGAAATTCAGCTCTCTAATGGGGAGACCTCACTGGGCCTTCTTTGCCACACACTTGTGGCCGATCCATTTATGGATCATAGTCTCATCCCTAAAATGGGGACACAGAAAGTGCAGCCCTCCCCAGCTGGGTGCAAGGATACTGGAGATGAGACAAGCCTGTGATCCCAGCTTTTGATGCCTCCTCTTTATGATGCATTTCCTTCAACAAAGGCCACTGGTGGGACTCTGGGGCCCCGAGGTGATCAATCAAGGCCAGGGCTGAGGTCTGGGGATGCTCAAAAGTCCTCAGTTAACCTGCCCTGCATTGGAAATGGCTTGAATTCCTGTGGCTGAGGAACATTCCTCCAAGGCTCCGTTGAGAGCAATATCGCCACCTGGTGGTCAGAGACCACTTGGCTTCCCTGGTTCACAGACCTGTTCTGGAGGCCCCATAACCTCCTTGAGGTCCCAAGGCTGCTCAGTGGCAAGGCCTGGATTATCTGATGCCTGCCAGCTGTCAAGTGCCCCTTCTGCACTTTGAAGACATAGAAAGGCCGCAGCACAGGACTCCGGATTTCTCATCTGCCCACTGTGTGATGGGGATTAAAGCCAACCCCTTACTCCCCTGAGGCTCACCATCATGGGCCAGCACAAACCCTGCCATTTGTCATTCAGCTGCATGGCATCAGCAAAGAGGAAGTAGACAGCCAGCAGGAACTCCAGCAGAGGCACGGTGAGGAAGGCCGATGCAGAGGACACCACATAGCAGATAAAGGTGATGAACGAGAGACCCTGCAGGGAAGAGAGAGTCAGAACCTCTTCTGTCCCAAAGCAGGGGAAGTCGCTTGCTCAGTCCCACAACTGACAAGTGGCAGAGTCAGGATTAAAGGTGTCACAAGACCCAGGCCCACACCAGGGCTGTCCCCAGTCCTTCTGGGTGTGGCCTTGAATCCTGACATCATGCAACCTCCCTGCCACAACCCCTTCTTGAAGTCCTAGTCTCCTCAGTGTGTCCAGCCCCCAGGAGGCCACCTGCTGGGTCTGCTCCACCCCTCCCCTTACTGGCTCTATGACAGAATCCCCCCAACTCCAACGACCAGCAAGCAGCACACCAAAGCCAAACAATCGCCAGTTTCAAACTGTAACATCTGACACAAATATCTGCGCTTTTCACTGAGTGTAAATTTTACCTGAAAAATAGAAAACAAGGGCTGGGGAGGTGTGACTTAAGTAAGTCACCTGCCTTGCAGGTGCAAGTTCCTGAGTTCAACAACCCCCAGTCTGAAAAAAAAACAACAATCTTGAACTGAAGTCAGTGATGTGCATGTTAGAAGTGTATGGAACTGAAATGGATTGATGTCTGGAATTTAGTTTCAGTGCAGCAAAACAGATAGATAGGTTATAAAGCAAACAGCAAAATGTTAACCACTGTACAATCTAGGTGGGGGACATATGTGATCTAAATGATTTAGTGATATAAATCGTTAACATTACAGATCTTTTATATATTTGCAAATCTTTATTTTTTTGGTATTATAGGGTTTGAACTCAGGGCTTCGCGCTTGCTAGGCAGGCAGTCTACCACTTCAGCCATGCCCCCAGCCTGCAAATCTTCATAAGAAGAAAAAACTCTCCAGGATAGGATACATTGACACTGACACACACTTGGGACTGTGTGACACAGCCTGTGTTAAAGGTGGAGGTAGCTGTACTTGACCTCCAGTCAAAATACTACACCTTGGCCTACTGAAGCCACCAGTTAGTCCCGTATACTGTAGTGTGGTGCAAGGAGGACCAAAAGGATGGGGCTGTTGACCGGTCAGTGGTTTCTCCATGCCCAATGCCCACTGAGGCATATGGGTATCTTCTCTATGCCCTTCCCCCAAACCCACATGCAGGCACTGTGCATAGCAGATGAGCAGACTCAGTATCACACAGCTAATAAGAGAGTACCAGGGCTGGCTAACCTGTGGGCTCTAAAGGCCTTCATCTCCCCTGGTTTCTGTCACTGTGGCTGGCTTTGAGCACTTTCATGGTTGAGTAGCTTGAAGTTGAGGCCCAGGGGTTGACTACAGAGACCCATAGGGACACTCAGATGTCCCACAGGAAGCACTGTGGCTGCTTCAGATAAATGAGTTGCAGGGATCCCAGGAAGTCCCCAGGGCACCCTAGCTGCCCTTAACATGGCCTTGGGGGTAGCTAAGCCTCCCCACCCCACCCCAAGACAGGAAACAAGGCACAGAGAGAGGCTGGAAGGCTGCCAGGGCCTCCTTGCCCAGGAGGCAAGGCCATCAGATGGTGACCAGCTCTGTTCACAGATGGCCCCTGCGGTACTTCCTCCCTGTGTCCCTCCCTTTCCTGTCCCATCCTCCCCATCAAAGCTGATTCTGGGGATCTCTCTCTCAATTCCTGGTTTCTTATTCCCCATTCTTGGTGACCACTTTCCTCCCCCTTCCTGTCCCTGTCAGCCTCCCCACTTGCATGGGTCTGGGGGTGGAAGGAAGATCAGGTGCAAGACTGTCCACCCCTTACCCTTCCTTCCTCCTCCCTTCCTTATTCTTCTAAGCCTGGGATCCTGACACCCAGCTAGGACGAGGACCCACTCTGTGCTCTGGTTGGCACCCCAACCCCTATCCATGAGGTGGCCCTGGGTAGGGTGTGGTTGGAGCCCCCCTTGTGGAGGGTGGACTCAAGATTTCTTCTCCTGCTGTCTTGGCTGCCAGAGGACTTGGGGGAGGAGCAGAAGTGGCCAGCCTGGGGGCGGTCCCTGGGAGTGTGGGTTCACTTGGAGTTGAGTAGGTGCCCAACCAGTGACTTTGGGGCTGACCACGAGACAAGAGAGGCTGTAGGATACCCCCTGCCACGTGCCGTGGGGGTAGGGGACAGGTCAGGGGGCAGAAATATTCCTGCGACGCCCCATCCTCTTCGATCCCACTTGGCCCAACCGAGTCACCTTGTCAAATCCCCCAGACGCCTCTATTCGCACTTTCTGTCTCCCCCGACCCCAACTCTAAGTGAGAACAGAACAGGTACGGTCAAGTTGCTGGGCTCTAAACTACAAGTGGCAGAGGGCGCTCCCTTCTCCCTCCTCCCGTCTCCCCTCTGCCTGGCCTCCTCCTCCCCCCATCCTGGGCGTCCCTCCGCCCCATACGCGACAGTGCGGGAGTTACCGGAGTGTTGGGAGGACAAAGAAGGCTTGCACCACCGGGTGGGGACGAGCGGGAAGGAGGAAGGACAGCGGGGGCGGGCGGAGGGGATGAAGTCACCCCGCTGCCTCCGGCTCCCGCCCCCCGGCCCGCGCCTCTCCCGCTCCGGAAAGCCTCCCAGCCCGGCGCGCTCCCCTCTCCGCCTGCCGCCCTCGGCGGGACCCTGAACGTCGGGGCGGCTGATCCTCCCGGGAGGCGGCGGGAAGATTTGCGGAGCGCAGCCGAGGGGCAGCCGTGCCGCGGACCCAGAGAGGGCAGAGGCATCCGAGGTCCCATTGCGCGGAGCGCCGATCCCTCACCAGGGTCCCCTCGCCCCGCGTCCCTGGTCCCCTGATTAGGGCCTCGCGGGTTGAAGAACCGGGAAGCCTTGGCCGCTTAAGCGCAGCCGTCCGAAACTTGGGGACGACGGCCCAACTTTGCGGGGCTTTCAAGGGGACTGCCGAGCGGGCCTCCGGGACGGGGGATCGGAGCGCGACACCGCCCCCCACCCCATCCGACGTGGGCTTTGGCAGGGAGCGGCGCGGTCGCAGGGTCTCCGCGCACTCACCGACTCCGCCAGCAGGAGGCGACCTTTGAGCGAGCAGAGGAAGGCGCGCGCCGGCAGCAGAGCGCGGAGCGCGGGGACCGCCGCGCCGGCCCGGGAACCGCCCGCGGGCTCGGGCTCCGGCTCGGGGTCCGGGTCGGGGGGCCACATGGCGACGGCACAGGGCAGAGGCTCGGCCTCCCTGCCTCTCACCCCGCCCCAGGGAGGGAAGCGGAAACCCAGGCTGTGCGGAAGGAGGAAAAGGCGAACGCCGCTCGGCGAGGGGCGCATCCCCCGCCGCTCCGCCCCCGCCCCGCCCCCGCCGCCCCGCCCCCTCCCCTAGGGACCCCGGGTGTCTACCCCCCGCCCCGCCCGGGGCCCAGTCCTCTGCCTCCTCTTCCTCTCACTCTTGTCCTGGCCGCCTAAACTCTCTCATCGCCGCCCCCGAACACCATCGGAGCCCCTGCCGTTTGCCCCGGCCCAGAGGGTTGTCAACACCCGCTGTCCCCAAACTAACTTCCTGCCCATGCGTGCGTCCAAGACCCAGAAACTTAGGAGTGTAGATATCAAAGACCCCAGCCTTGTCCTCCCACGACTGACCGCGCTGTTGGCTCCTGCTCTGTCTCCCCAGCACCCCCAGTCCGCCAGCGATCCGAGTTTCCTTTACTTCCCTGGCCGCCCTCCGCCCGTCCTCGGTCGGCCCATCCTCCTTCCGGACCTCCTTATTGGCTCTCCCAGCCCTGGGTGCCCCCCAGCCCCAGGCCATCCTGGGCGGACCTCCATGGCCAGCATAGCCCCAGCTCCCTCCCTCCCTCCCTCTTTCTCCCTCCCTTACTCTCCCCTCTCTCCCTTCCTCCCTTCCCCTTTCGGTCTCCTGAGCCAGAGACCAGGGGATTGTTCTGTCCTCCCTCACCATCACATCACCAAATCCCGCCTCCTTCTAAAGTTTTCTTTGACCTCTGCCCGTTTCTAACCACCCGTGGGTCCTAAACCACTCCTGCCCCCCTGAACTGTGTGGAGGCCTGTAAGAGGTCTTGACTGCCTTCCTTGTCAGCCACAGAGGTGCTTAGATCACCAATCACGGTAACTCCTACCACGACTTCCCCAAACAAAACAAACCTCAGGAGCTTCCCTTCTCGCTTAGGGTCTGCAGTAGACAGGATATAATAACCTGTTGCATTACTTTCATTGTTTTCCTCCCAACCATCTACCTTCTTACAGCTTCTTGAACAAACTATGCACCCTCCTGCCACCAGGCCTTTGTACATGCTGACCCAGCTAGTAATGTTCTTCCTCTGCCTTCTTATCTGGTGACTTCCTTCTTATTCATCAGTGACCATAATGCCTGATTATTTCTTCAGGAAGCCTGTTCAAGCATCCATTTGTTTATGTAATAGCTGCTCTAGAAGGCCAGGATTCAGGGAAGCCCCAGCTATGGGAGGGGTGGGAGTGTGTGTGTGTAGGGGGGAGCAGATGGAAGAGGAAATACTGAAGGAGTCCAAAGAATCCCGAATAAGATGACTTGTTGTTGACATCTGGCTGATTCCCAGGTCTTAGTGGGTGAGGAGAGGAGGAACCAGAGAAGGGGCAGGGCCAGATTGTGGAAGACCAGCCCCTGGGGTTTGGATTTTACTCACAATTCTCAGTTCCGATCTGTGTAGTTAAAAACATGGCTGTGGCTGGCAGAGTGGCTCAGTGGTAGAGCGCCTGCCTAACAAGTGGGAGCCCCTGAGTGCAACCTCCATCACCCCCAAAAAACAAGAAAAACACATGGTTCTGGGACTGGAGGCATGGCTCAAGCAGTATAATGCCTGCTTTTTTTTTTTTTTTTTTTTGCAAGGATGAAGTCCTGAGTTCAAACCTAAGTCCCACCAAAAACCAAAACAAAACCATGGTTCCGGCCTGGGCATGGTGGCCTGTAATCCTAGCTACTTGGGAGGCTGAGATCCAGAGGATCGAGATTTCAGGCCAGCCCTGGTGTGGGGGGAGCTCACGAGACCCCATCTCAACCAAAAGAAAGCTCCGTCCTATCTACTCCGGAGGCGTGAAGGGTAAATAGGGTCATGGTTCAGGCTGCCCAGTCATAAACCCCAGACTGTACTCGAAAAATAGCTGAAGCAAAAAGGGCTGGGAGTATGGCTCAATTGGTAGAGTGCCTGCGTGGCAAACACAAAGTCCCCCAAGACAGCCAAAAACAAACAAACAAAGCAGTGGCTCTGAACTGTAACCCCAATAATACGAAGGAAACAGCCCAGTTTCTAAAATTGGCCAAAAATTTGAACGATTTACCAAAGGAGACATCAGAATTCCAATAAAGCAACAAAAAGCTGCTTATCATTGTTAGTCACCTAGGCATGCAAATTAAGACCAGGACAAGACACTGCTGGAACGGCTTAAAAACGGAGGACACTACCAAGTCCCAGTGAGAATGTAAGGTATACCACAGCCGGGGCATCCGTTGCTACCACCGGTTTGGAAAGCAGTCTGGAAGTTTCTTGAAAGTTAACTGTAGCTTACAGGAGGATTCGGTCGTTTGACTCACAGACATTTATCTGATGGAAATGTTCACAGCAGTTCTATTTTTTTTTTTTTTTTGCGGTGGTTGGAACTCAGGACCTTGTGCTTGCTAGGCAGGGGCCCTACCACTTGAGCCATGTCTCCAGCAACAGCTCTGTTTTTAATAATGTAAACTTGAAACTGTCACATGTCCCTCAGCTGGTGAAGGAATAAACAAACCTACTACTCATCAAGGAAAAGTAATCAACCTTTGATAAACACAACGTATTTGTAGCTATTATGTTGAATGCAAGATGCCAAATTCAAGGGTGCATACTTTTTTTTTTCCTTTTTAATGAAATTCCACAACAGGCAAAACTAAGGATGGTAACTGAAATCAGATCAGTAGTTGTCTGGGGTGGGCACAAGAACACATTTCCTGGGGTGCTAGAAATATTCTTAGCACATATGCTTAATTTTGACTGGTGTGGCGGTTGCACGGGGGTATTCGTGTGTCACACCGTATTGAACTACACACTTAAAATGGGTGCATTAGCCGGGCGCCTGTGGCTCATGCCTGTAATCCTAGCTACTCTGGAGGCTGAAATCTGGAGGATTGAGGTTTGAGGCCAGTCTGGACAAATAGTTCAGAAGACCTCATCTCCAGAGCAAAATGGACTGGAGGTGGCTCAAGTGGGAGAGCACCTGTTTTATAAGAGCAAAGCCCTGAGATCAAACTGTAGTCCCACCAGAAAAACTAGTGCATTTGACTTCATGTAAATTGTACCTCAATTTAGAAAAGGCAAGTAAAGAGAAAAGGCAAAATAGGGTGGCAGGACTAGAGAGAGAATGGGGATAGCTAAGTGCCTACCCCACCAGCGGGCTGTGAGCTCCCAGCCTCAGCCCAGGCTGACATCTGGGAATGTCTGCTATGGGAAGAAGGAAAGGCATATTCCTTTCAGACGCTTCTGTAAGGAAGGTTTCCTTTCTCCTTTGTTTATTTGCTTATTCAATTCTTTGGATTATAATTAAATAATCACACACAGTTTGGCTTTTGGTGGTTCTGAGAATTAAACCCAGAGCCTCATCCTGGCAGGCACTTGCTCTACCAGTTAAGCCACATCTCCAGCCCTTTAGGCTTAAGTTTGTTTTTCAAATAGGGTGTCTTGCTTTTGCCTGGCTAGCCTTGGATCACAATCCTCCTACTATCCCCTCTAGAGTAGCTGGGATTACAGTCATGAACCACCACTCCTGACCCTTGCACCCAGTTTTTTTTTTATATAAAAATTGTCAGGAAAGGTTTTATTTATTCATTTTGAAACATTGCAAAGAGTGCTGTTAGCAGCATTTATCTGCCTCTGTTTGTTTGTTTTTTTTTTACTTTTTTTTTTAAAGGTAGCTCCACAAGCGAGTTGAATTCATTTCATTTTCCTTCTGTGACTTTTTATTTTTTATTTTTTTAATTATTCATATGTGCATACAATGCTTGTCATTTCTCCCCCTTGCCCCCACCCCCTCCCTTACCACCCACACCGCCCCCTCCCTCTCTCCCCCACCCCCTCGATACCCAGCAGAAACTATTTTGCCCTTATTTCTAATTTTGTTGTAGAGAGAGTATAAGCAATAATAGGAAGGAACAAGGGTTTTTGCTGGTTGAGATAAGGATAGCTATACAGGGCATTGACTCACATTGATTTCCTGTGCATGGGTGTTACCTTCTAGGTTAATTCTTTTTGATCTCACCTTTTCTCTAGTTCCTGGTCCGCTCTTCCTATTGGCCTCAGTTGCTTTTAAGGTATCTGCTTTAGTTTCTCTGCGTTGAGGGCAACAAATGCTAGCTAATTTTTTAGGTGTCTTACCTATCCCCACACCTCCCTTGTGCTCTCCCTTTTATCATGTGCTCAAAGTCCAATCCCCTTGTTGTGTTTGCCCTTGATCTAATGTCCACATATGAGGGAGAACATACAATTTTTGGTCTTTTGGGCCAGGCTAACCTCGCTCAGAATGATGTTCTCCAATTCCATCCATTTACCAGTGAATGATAACATTTCATTCTTCATAGCTGCATAAAATTCCATTGTGTATAGATACCACATTTTCTTAATCCATTCGTCAGTAGTGGGGCATCTTGGCTGTTTCCATAACTTGGCTATTGTGAATAGTGCTGCAATAAACATGGGTGCCTTGCACCCAATTTTGTTGGCTAAGTTGTTCCACCTTTGGCCACTGTCCTCCTCAGTAGTACTTGGTATATACAGCTTTGCTCCTGTGCACCTAATATGCCCTACCTTTATGCTTTTTTATATTTTCTTATTTGCTGACACTGTAAGGTTCATTTTGTATTGTCTTCATCCTCACCCCAGGATTAGCTGTGCCTCCATGAAACTCTAGTTCTTTTTACTGGGAAATAGTATTTAGAAACCAAGCTCTCTCAGGCAGTTTGCATTAGAAAATTTGCATTTTTCTAGTTATGGGTGGATCACAGTTGCTCACATGTGTGGCTGCTACAAGCGTTTCCCTTTGTGGGAATGACTGTTCACATTCTGTGCCTTTGTTGGTGGTTAGAAGTCAGTGCATAAGAATGCAAACATTCAGGAAACTGAGCCTGAGCTTCTCTGAGGTGGCAATTGTGTCCCCTCCTTGTTTGTCCTTTGTCTTTTACTTTGCATTTTTGCCATACAGAATTCTCTTTTGGAATCCGCTTGCTTTTCTCTTTGGATCTGTACATTTGTATTCATTGACT